TGCCACATAGTATGATAACCTCGGCACTGCCACATAGTATGATAACCTCGGCTTTGCCACATAGTATGATAACCTTGGCTTTGTTAGACAGGAAACTGTAACATTTGCATTCCATGTATATTGACCTTTTACAAACAGGTTGTTGATCTGACTAGGTATAAATATTGCCCCGTGTGTTCATTTTATTGGTCATTGGTGTACAATGCATTGCATATGACCGACCGTTATCGCGATTTGTTGCAGTATGGACCCCATGTATTAGAAACTGCCTTTCTATTTTGGTCTTTACGGTAGGCTATTGTAAATAATGTCGTAATACACATTTTAATTCGTAAGTGTCATCGGATTAATTCATTGGGAATATAGAATCAGCCACCTCGGACCTCCATCATTGAATGTGTCCTATTTGGTGCTAATCCTTGCTGTAAATTACAGATTTATATGATCGTACAGCTGTCACCATGATCAGATAGATGGTGTATATCTCTATAACTGTTCTAGACTGTTGACCTATATGTTATATCGAATGGTCAAGACCTTACGTGTTTCACTGTCTTTCAAAAACAGTTTTATCGATAACTCAAGAAATTAATTTGTTAAAAAAATAAATAACAATTTACCCTCATGCATATAGGTAAATTCATTTTGCCTAGTACAGTTGTATTTGTTCATTCATTTATCTATTTCTAAAAATAACTACCCCTGCAAGTTCTTCGTGTTCGTCCTTTGGGTTGACTACACTGACACAGTCAAATTATTGTCAGGGTCGTCATTTCGTGTCAACTAACAATTACATTTTAATGCAGTTAAAATGGTGTCTATGTACTTAAAACTGTTTAAAAAATAAAGCAAGTGTCGTATACTTTGAAAAGAAACCATCAAAAGAAAAATAGGACGTGTACACCCGGTAAATGTGGTATGGGACTGGTGTATACCGTGGTAGTGTGGTATGTGACTCGTGTATACCGTGGTAGTGTGGTATGGGACTCGTGTATACCGGGGTAGTGTGGTATGTGACTCGTGTATACCGGGGTAGTGTGGGATGTATTTCGTGTATACCGGGGTGGTGTTTTATGTGACTCGTGTATACCGTGGTAGTGTAGTATGTGACTCGTGTATACCGTGGTAATGTGGTATGTGACTCGTGTATACCGGGGTAGTGTGGGATGTATTTCGTGTATACCGGGATGGTGTTTTATGTGACTCGTGTATACCGTGGTAATGTGGTATGCGACTCGTGTATACCGGGGTAGTGTGGTATGGGAGCCGTGTATACCGGGGTAGTGTGGTATGGGAGCCGTGTATACCGGGGTAGTGTGGTATGGGAGCCGTTTATACCGGGGTAGTGTGGTATGGGATTCGTATATACAAGGGGAGTGTAGTATGGGAGCCGTGTATATTGTTGTAGTGTGGTGTGGAACTTGTGTTTACCGGGGTAGTGTGTTATGGGACTCGTATATACCGTGGTAGTGTGGTATGGGACTCG